ACTACAATTAATGAAGATAGGCATCACGAAAGTCAGCGCGGAATAGCCTCTAGGCTGGCTTCGGGTTGCGAGGGAATCGTCAGAAACGTCTCAGATTCTCCTTTCTCCGAATGTACGCCAGACCTCACATTGCAATGCCAACTCACCACGTTCTGAGGGAGATAGCCAGGGCCACGATACCTCATCCACCATATAGCATTGGCATCGCTCTATCGGACTATCGCCTCCCCTGCGCCCTGAATAAGCATCTGCCAGAGAAGAAAGTTAAAGATTGCGACCACCCCAAAAACGACTTCTCCAAATTCTTCAACCCCCAGCTTCCTTCATTCTGGGCTGGAAGCTTCCAAACGCCCACTAGCAAATGCACGCATATCAGTGACCATGATGGTGGTTATGCTATTGATCAGTTGTTTCCTAGAAGAGATAAAACTTGAATAAACAAAAGTGTCGAAATTGAGACAGGAATTATGAGACAACCCAATAATATTATGAAATTTCTATTATACATGATTATTGGTAATGTTTAGAAATTCGTTGAGATCTGTGAAAGTGGGAGGTTCTGTAGTATACTCAACGTGCACGCTATCCACTATTCAAAATGAAGCTGTGGTTGAAAATGCTGTTGCCATAGCTGAACGACAATTTGGAGTGCGGGTAATGTTTTTTTACGTATTGATATACGGTATTGCTTCTTAGTCTGAAGATCTTTTGCATTAATTTCCTTGCAGGTCGTTGAAGAGTCGCTCTCGCAGCTGGTCAACCATCTCACATCGTCTGGTCTGTATCGGTTTTCTGATCAATGTCGGACTGGTGCTTTGGTACTTCCGTTCTTACCATCCAATTTTGGGCCTATGTATGTATGTAAATTGACTAGGCTTGTGTAAATTAGGAAATTGATCTCAAAGTCCGCTATATACTTCTATAAAGTGTCAGTAACTTTCATGTAGTAACGGTTTTTCCTATGTTGTTATGGGATGCGTTAAGAGTTGGGCCAGATAGCGAAATGTTTGATGTGGCAATATCGCTCTAAGTTCAGCTTAGAACCTTCCACCACTCTTCCAGGTTTACTTAGTCAGTAACGGGGCAGTCTAGAAAAGACATTCATAGGATCGTCGAGAGGCCGTGGGAGTGTTTGCAAAAACCCTTTGTGGGTCCAAGCCTTGTCAAGTTGAATTAATGCTGCAATAAAAGTGGAGAGTTCAGAAACTATTGACACACTACACCTTTTTATCCTTTTTTTTGCTGGCATGCACCCTTGTCGAAGGGTCGCTACGCAATTCGCAGCAAAGGAATGTCCTCGGCAACCTAGCATCCTCGCAGCGCTATCGACGTGGCACGCCCACCGACTGGCTAACCACTCGCCGCAGGTCTCTAGCCGTTTAGCAGAGAGAGCGTTAGCGTTGAAGAGGGCAGCACCGATGAGAGTCGCATCAATGCGGAAATCAACGGGCAAGGAAGGGTCCCATTTCTCGGGTTCTGGGCAGTTTTCATGGTTTTTTCTTCATCCCGGCACCACTGACCACCTCTACCTTGACTATAACGGGCTGCTTTCTGATCGTGAACCCCGCCTCCGCCTTCATATT